CTTATAGAAGGTCCTTAAATGCTCGATTACATGCACAAATGGCCGACTAAATCCACTCCCACCCCCATATTCCTTAGATATTAGCTTCAGGTCTTGTTATCCTGTCTCCAAGCACGGCAAAAAGTGGAACGAAGCAAGGAAATAATGCCTATCGCATCTGATACGTCCATCGCAGAAATTATCTCCTTCGAGTTGGGAAACCTGCAAGCTGCGCTGAGGATTCCATCGTCGTTTCTTTTTCGAGGAATCTTGTCCTAGCACTTTGGTGTCGAAAATGGTAGTCAACAACTCTTCTTTTTATTTCGGAAAAGAATCCTTAGAAGCACTATCGCACTTAGGGGGGCATCGTGATGGTAATCATGAAAAGCGCAGTAAAACATCTTTTATATCGATAAAAACGGTCGTAAGCTTTTTGCTTTCCCTGGAGCTCCTGCCTCCTCCTAGCTTAGACCTGGAGGATACCGCCGAATATGCGACATTGCGCCATCCTTAAGAGTGCAAACTCTTGAAATCGGCATACGAAACCAAACGGAATGAAAGAGCGCTTTGATGAGGATGTCATTCCAAGTTCTTCCACCCGCGTAGGCACAGAACTGTGAAAGATCGCATCACTCTATCCTTTTCTTAAAGGACGAATTCCACGATGAAAAAGCAACGCATTACACTATGGGATGGGAGTGAAACGCCAAAAGAAGGAAGAAGAAATCTGTTGGAAACGGCCGCAGAACCCGAGAAATGGTGTATTGAACTACGGCGAGTGATCAGATGATCGGTGGGCGGAGATCGCCGGACCCGCCAGCTTTGAGGCATGATAGGTCGCCGAGGTCTTTCCATGCGAATTGCGCGTCAGTTCGCACCCTCAGGAGGTCCGTGGGTCCCTCAACTAGGTCAGTTTCCCTTTCTTCGACCTTCATTCTAATCGTGAATTCCTCCTTTAGAGCAAGGAATACGATTGGAAAACAGCTCGTTAGAATTGAGGTAGAGGTAGTCACTGGCGCAGGAATGAAGAAATCCACCTTAAAATGCCCCGAACCCGAAGAATGGAGCTCTTCTCTGTCATTGATGCGCTTTTATGTATTCTGCGATTCTGCCGTACATCAAGCCACCATGTATCTGCAAACCGTTAGAGCTCTGCGGCGAGTTTAGGCCGATGCGTGGGCGTGGCCGCGTCGATAGCGGCGCCGGGACACCACGATAAATCGCCAGGGACTTAGCCTCTGCTACGAACTGCGTGCTGGTCCACACCTTAGAGATCCGTCTAAGTTCCACTAGGCAAGTTTCCTCTCCTCCAGTCCTTCCTATCGCGTAATCCTCCCTCAAATTGCTAGACTTTTTTGTACTGCCTCACCAACTGCCGCACAAAATAGAAGAAACGTAATCACAGATCGCTGATATTTCAAGATTCCAAGGGGTTAGAGATGATTATCCCAGATAACACCTGGAAATGCTTACTACTACTGGGAAACTGAGTGTCTCCAAAACTATATTCAGTATTGATAATCGGTGTTACTCAACCATACACCCATAAAGAAATCTTGGGACGCAAGAGGGAAGCTCGTCAACTACTTCTACTCCGACTTCCTTGACAGAAAGTTCACCTGGCTACGTGCCATTCCATGTGCGCCGTTCCACCGGTTTTCCCATTTAAGTTCAACCGCTTCGTTTAGGAAGATTTATATACCACCCGAACCCGATTCATATGGGAACACACAAAAAGCTCCCCACTTCATGTCGTCAAAACCACGACTCGGCCGTTTATGCGCTATCAGTCAGTATGCGAGGCATCTACGGAAAATCAGCGAGACCGCGTTTTATGAAGGGAAACACTGCACGACATTGACAATGACACCAAATCGAGCTGTTCTTTGTCAATTTGAAACTTAACTCGAGTAATCCTTGAAAAGATCGCAGAATGTGAGGCTTTCACGACATTACCACCAAGAGAACGAAAGAAATGGCATTTGTTTTGATAAACAATACGAGAAACGTGACTCCACCCGGTAAAATTTCTGCCGTGGAACTGTTACATGGTGTTATGTTGGTGGCGCCACCACTTCCAGTTGTCTTCTGGAGTGCTGCCAGCAAGAAATTACTTTCGGCTGATCACCATGGCAAAAAATTTCTTCTACTGCATCAAATTTTCGCGCAGAAACGTTTAGCCTCCACTCTCCGCACTCGTGAGTATGGATTCATTCTCCTTCAACGACGCGTTGGCCGCGCCACCACGTACTTTATTCTACGCGTCTCCTTGACTCCGCCCAGGTGTCCGTGAACTGACCAAGAGGTCTGGTCTTCAAATGCTTGCTCTTTTCAAAGAAATGATGTTTATGCATGGCATACCAACTAGCATCACACATAATTCATCCATGCCGAAGGGGAGTACAGCAACTTCTTATGCTTGATTCCTCAGCAGGATTGACAAAAACCTTTTGCAATACAGGGAAGGCAAAAAGCTCAAGTAAAACTTAGAATGACCGATAGCTTAGTATGATAAACTCAATTCGGTGGTCACATGGTCACGAGGGTTGCTCAGAAATCATGTAACTATTGTGATAACGTATTGCCTTCCTTCTATCAACCAGAAGAAAATGCTGATTATGAGGTAGGAAGCGGCGATCGAGCCTTCAAGGGACCACAGAAGTCCTATTTCATGATACGAGTATCTCCCGTGGGTGTCTGCACGAATCAGAACATATAATTTAACCAGAAGACTACTAAAGTGGTCGAAAAGGCGTCGGATTAGATAGGGCGATGCCACTTTACCTCCACTTCACCCTGAAGATTTTCACCAAACGGGATGGAAAAAACGTCTGATTGAAATCGGCGGGCCACACAATAAGTGTTTCGTCGATGGTGTACTTGCTGAATCCTCGACCTACACTCTCAGGTTGATGACCGTCTCGCTTATTAGGCCAAGCGGAGGAATCTTAATGATATGATCCACTTGTAGGCAGATATTCCTGAAAGCGACTCCTTGAGGTCCACAGTTCGAACATTTTCTGATTCCTAACATTTCAGGCTACGAGTGCTCGGTATAGGATATCCTATATAAGGGAAGAGTCAGGCATGAGCATGAGGAAAGCGGCACTGAGAACATCCAACAACGTAGTGAAGAGTAGTCAAGAAGACAAAGAGCACTAACTACATGCTCCTCTTCGAGTTCTTAGTCCTGTGCCTGCCTTGAAGTTCGTGTACCCTAATTTCCGGTAGATAAGCCCTAGCCAATTTCACGTAGAAACACCTTCGCTCGTGCAGTGTACTTGCGTACTCCTACATAGCACCGTAGCGTTGACCACATGGGTAATTCGAAGTCTTGATTATGAAAATGACATTCATTTTTTAGCGGTTGTTGGCGTCACCTTGTCACGACCTACTCACCAAATTTGGTGTAAACTTCCATATAGGGTTATTTGGTGTCCTGATTACGAATAATATGATATTCATTCTTGGCGCCTAGCGTCATTTGATGCCTATTTTCTGCCTCGTCTGCGCCCTCCCACTGGATAGATCGGGAAATATGCGTTGAACAACGTTAATGCCAAAAACGAATGTCATATTCGTAATCAGGGCACCAAATAACCCCTATACAGAAGTTTACACCGATTTTGGTGAAAACAAGGGTCGTGACAAGGTGGACGCCAACTGGCGCCAGATGGCGCCACCGCTAAAAATGAATGTCATTTTCGTAATCAGGGCATCGAATTACCTCTATGGCCAAAGTTACGGTAGTCTGTAGGTGTAGCAAGTACACTGCACGACCGAAGGTGCTTTCAGGTGACCCCGGCTAAGGCTTATCTACCGGAAATAGGGTAAAAGTTGGGCCATGGATGCTGTTCCATTTGCCATAGGATCAAAATTCACCTAATGTGGGCATATCTCCAAGTAGCTTCTGAGGATCCTTTGACCAGAATACCTTCGAGCAACTCCCCCGGAAGACAAGCCAATTTTTAACGCCACAGAATAGATGAGATGAGACACTTCGTCTTCTCAGAACAAAGATAACCTAATAGATTACAGTGGCTCGCAAATTACGAACGACGACGTTGCTTGCGCCTGCTCGAGGATTTCGATGATCCAAGCAACAGCGGACGATCCAGCTAGCTGAATCAGAAACTGGTCACGAATTGCAAGCAGGATTCCACTCGGAGATGACGGACTCAATTAACGTTTGAAACGCTTTAACTCCATCGTTTTTAGGAAGGTAGAGCCGTCGTTAGGAACTGAAAACGAAGTCCGCCTATTGGAATGCAACACGGTCACCATTCGGGGCAGGGGAGAAGAGGACTGGGTATGACTTGCACTTCTAACACCATAGCTTTCGTGATGATAAGGAAAAAGGAAGAGAGGAGAGAAGAAAGGCCTAATTCAGGCGAAGTTGCCTTTGACAATTTCACACAACTAATATTGCAAAATTGATAGACTTCGTAGAATAAACCAAGAATAATAGTAAGAGGTTACAGTAGCAGAGATACTCACGAAACTACCATAAAGAAGATACTCTTTGAAAGCCTCTTCTGAAATCGTAAAAAGAGTGTAAGTGGACAAGTTTTCGCAGAAGAATCATAGACTAGGTAGAGCGTCTTGTGCGATTTTAAATAGATGCCTCCGTCAATAAAGGTTCGTACACCGCGACAAAATCGCAAAAAGCATATAAAAAGCATATTTTCAAACAAAAACATCACGTGAAAATGTCGCCGGACAACCTAAACATCGACAAACGAGATCGAACACCAAAAATGAGAGCCGTTCAAAAAAAGAAACCCCATTACCTGTTTCATCAAGTGGGTGTAACCTTGCTATTTCCCTTATGGAACATTGAGCACTGACCCATTAAACACATTTATCATAAAGAATTGACTACAATTTATAGAATGATTATAGATTTCATGAAATAAATTCCATTTCAAACTTCATGAAATATAAAATGAATGTAAAATATAAAATAAATTCATAAGATATTATAGAAGTATTCGAAGAAAACGAAATTCTTACAACTTACATTAACACGAATCAGTCGGTATGACCTTTATGCCACTAAGTAGAGTACCTCCGACCACATGTTGAGCCATAAGAGGGTGCGTGCGATCCGGCAAAACCTTGAATTCATGAATATTATATCATAAAATCAATCAATCCAGAGTAAGTGTGCATACAGAAGGGGAATTTCACGTATTTACAACCAAACATGCACTAATAGGATCAATAGGATCGGCGCCTTGAACTTCCCGTCGACTTCTAGCTTAGCTGTACATCTGACTCAAGTCAAATGGAAGAGATACCATAAATCCAAAATTTCGAAGATAAAGAGTCATACAACACAGTTGTCATTAATTAACGCTCAAGGAGCGAATTGTTAACTTTTTCGTGAAATTCAACGAGCGGTCGTTAGAAATGACGGAATTACATTCTGTGCCGCTTTTGTCATCGAATTTGAGCAATCGAAAATCGTTCTCGTTTCAGAAAAGAGCGCAACAAATGGGAATAGGAAGAACACAAAATATAAAAGTAAAACTTCAAAGTATCTATGCCAGCGTCCGATAAATATATTGGGAAGTCTGTTTCAAACATGCACCCCTTGTTATCATGTAGGCACCTCTCCCTATCCCCTAAAGATTAAGCGCCCACTTAGCAAGTTAGTGAATAACTCCTGATAGCATCTCATGACAAAAACTAATTCCCTCATTCCTTTCTCTTGAAAAACAAAAGTTCCTCACAACAACAAACATTTCGTGAATTTGAAGAGCAGATTCAAAGTCAACGTTTGGAAACGCATCTGACTGTTCTAGGTCTCCTTAAATGGCTTTTTGTCGGGACACATTCCGGAACAAAGATGGTTTCACACAAAACCACATAGTATTCATTCAATCCATTGCGTACCACACAATTGTCGAAGCAGATTAAAGATCCAAAGCAAAAGGCATGCAGTGGACACCCACCTGATGAGTTCGGAACATTTGATCTGACAAACGAACATTAACGCAATCGTGCTCCATCAGCCAACGATGAGCATCAAGTATCAACTGAAAACTTCGAATACAATTAGATCTACCAAAATTGCTATTGCTATCTCGCTGCGAGGGAAAGCTATAAGATCGCAGAGAATCTACATTACTTCCTAAACTGGCAATCGAGAATTTGACCATCCGACGCGTGCGGACCGGGTGATGTGCCGACCTGCCCCTAATACACACCTCGCATTCTCAGCTTCTAAAAAGAACACCTGAAGAAAGAATACGGTGCAACACAGATAGGCGAGCAAAATTTTAAAGAGTTATGCTAATGCAAGCGAAAAAGCAGTGGAATGCGTGAATGCGTTGCCAGCAACTTCGGTTGATCCTCTTTCGCTGAAGCATACTTTTTCACACTGCGGTCCTCGATGCAAGCTTCAGACAAGTTACTTCTCGAAACAAAGGGCAAAGAAAGGTGAAACTGTTGCAGTTCTGTAAACAACCTCCCCAACAACCTCAACGTCGCTTGAATGAGCCCCTGATGAGCAGCAAAATCGAAATGGTCGGAAAAGTGTTTGCAGCAGCCATGCTGGACCAAGAAATTTGTACAGTATGTCCGGCCTGGGAGAAATGGCGACAATGTTATAAACACACAAATACTATCTGAAGGAGAAAATCTCATCTACTGCAGAGATTCAACATTGAATCAAGTCTCACATCGAATTATGAAACTCAAGACGTAATGCGTAAAAGTAAAGGAAAAACATTGGAACAAAACCATAATAATATGTGGAAGAGATACAAAACTAAAGATTCCAGTGCAGCGCTTCTAAGTGAAGAACCATATTAGAAAATAGCATAACAGATTGGTGTAGAGAAGTTCAACAAACCTCCATGTGCGGTCCATACACAGACAATGGAGCCGGATGGGCGCAACTTTGAGAACATCGCTTCCAAAATAGAAACGGGATCGACCTGACGAAATAAAACAAATAGTAGAGCAATCACAAAACCGTAGCATCACAATTGAACAAAAAATGTGTGGCGAGACAACCAGCTGAGAAGATTGGAACACTTACCGTTCTAGTTGCAATGATCATTGCGTCAACGCCTCCAGCCAGCAACGCTAATCCTCGTTGCTCGCGAGCAAGTCGATCTGCTCTTCGTATGGCTGACGAATCTTCAGCTGCCTTTATTGACCAAATTATAGCAAGCACATTATAAAAAACAAGCCAGCACTTATAGTAATGAAAATACCTCAACGTTTTCCTGGACAACTTCTTCCTTCTCCTCATTTTCTTGTTGATTTGTCGTTCCAAGAATGGAAGAGATACGCACTGGCAGAAAAGTCGAAAATAACTGTAAAAATACCTTTCAATTACCAAAAAAGGCGCATATACAGTAGCGGTCAAAAGTGTTCGCCGAAACGATTTTTAGTGCATTATTTTTTCTCGCTTGAGCAACGCCCTCCAAAGATTGATATACTATGTTTTCTAGTGTTTTTATATCCTCAAGTCTTAAAGAATCAGGATATTCAAAAAAAATTTCGAGGTCACCATTGATTTTTTTCTGGCAAAAAAAAGAGAAGCACGAAAAACCGTTTCGGCGAACACTTTTGACCGCTACTGTAAATCAAACAAACGTTTAAAATCATCTTTTGATTTCAAGTACAAGAAACAGTAAAACTGACAAGCTGCAAGTCATTACAAAGTTTTTCAATCCAGTGCACCTTTTCATCGAAATTCATACTATGTACACATGGTATAGATTGTGCGATTAGACCTCGATGCAAATGAATGCATGCTCCTTGTCCGCCTAGCCTATCCATTACGCCAGCAGTGACCAATCCCAGCACCTACAAAGCCACTAATGAACATTTTGAAGGTTGACAGGAAGTACGGCAAAACTAATAAGAGGAACTGTTGTACCTGGTCGAAAACTAGTACATTTCGTCCATGATGCACCGCTGCCATTTGCAAGATCATTCCCAACTGATCCGTTCTGGAAGAGCACTTCTATACACGTGATAGCCAGCTAAATCATGCTTGCTTACTCAGCTGACAGCGAGCAGAGGCACTGGCACTTAGGAAAAGCGTTAGGGGGCCCAGATGCCTAGCGGGTACGCTGGTCACAAATACAGGGCCACCAGTTCGAATCCTTGATTTTCGTTTTTTTTGTTGCATTTTTTCTCAATAGTATCCAAACCAATAGAACTTAGGTAGTCGAAAACTGATGCTTTCGAAGAAACGGGAAGCTTTTGGGATACTTTCAGAACACGTTCATTTTCGAATGCATACTTCTTGCGTCACGGATGCGTCAAAATTGCAGCGCTGGAGTCAGAAAATTGCGAATATGGGTTTTGAAAAACAGCTCAGAAAGCGTAAAAAAGTGGCTGGTGTCAGAGTCCGCGATCCGCTCTTCGCGATTTTCGCGATTTGCGCGATTTTCGCGAAACCTGCGATGGATCACAGGAGTTGGAAGTGCCCGATGAATACTGCGAGGTGTTGTTTAATCCTGCTGCGAATTCTGCTTGGCAGTAAAGATTGAAGAGACGAATGTTTGTGGTTCTACTTGTTTCATGTTCAATGTCTATTAGTTCATTGAAATGCTCTTGAATCGTTCCTTTTTTTTCAGGAATCAAACCAAACCAATCACAAAAATTGCAAGTGCCCCATTTGAACAATTGAAACACTGGATATGAAACAAGTGGAATCATGAGCAGTCTCCATTAAACCATAACCATCAAGCAGAAGTGACGGCGGGATTGGAGAACACCTTGCAGTATGGATGGGGCACTTGTAATTTCCGTGACCCGTCGCGCAAATCGCGAAAATCGCGCAAATCGCGCAAATCGCGAAAATCGCGAAAATCGCGGCAAAAGGATCGCGGACTCTGACACCAGCCTACAGGATGATGGTGCGAGATGTCTTGAAATTTCCACCGCTTTACGTTTAACGAGGTTCTCCAAATAGGCGGTGCATTTCTCAAAAGAAGTAAATCGGTAATAAGAAAGTCTACCGAGCAGAAAAAAATTCAAGAGATGTCGACAGAGGCAAAGTATGGGAAAACCATGCTTAAACTAGAAGATGTCTTGCCCATAATGGGCGGAGCGTGCCCTAAAGAAGGCGGACAAGGAAACCCTATGTTTCGGCTCTGCGACGGCTCGAAAAAGTACATGTGATTAGGAAACATACCTGAGATTAGAAACACGAACACAGTCTTTCATATAATACGATTGAGCGAGAAGACGTATGGTAGGTTTCAGAATTAGCACTCTAAACAAGAAATGACGATGTTAAGAAGAACTAGGATTAATACAGCAATACTTCACAGAGATCTGAAAAAAAAGTTTCGGAAAGCGGACCTGTCAGAATGTTTCTTTGTTTTCCGTCGTATATATTTGCTTTTACTATACTCTGTTCGTGTGCTGAACGATTTGCTCCCTTCTACTAACTTGGAAACCTTGAAAATGACACAACTTTATTCAAGGAGATGCTCACTAAGAATACTATATCCTCAGCAATCACCCACATAAAGGGTAAATCTAAGGAATGAACTGCATTACCAATTCGCCGGCCGTGATACCTTGATCTTTCAAATTGAGTACTTCCTCTTGGCTGAGCCTTTGGAGAGCCTGAAAAAGGAACAAATAACCTTCAAGACATCCAATTAAGCGGACAATCTGAGAGAACCTGAGCTGGATTCAAAGATTAGGTGGTGTGTTTTATAGGCAACCAAAGCAGGTAATGCTGTACACTACGGCATTCCTGGTTCTGGTTATGGTAGCGGTACTTCTACGGAAAATAACAAAAGAAAGAAGATCATAGAAAATCCGAAGAATCATGCAAATTTGAGAGAAACCAGCAGAAATGCTCCACAATGCAGGGCTCGCACTGGTTTGTTTTAGGTACGGTTGCGAGTGAAACAGAAAGTGAAATGGTGCAAAAAAGGGTTATCAATCTGATACAAAAAAAACTAACCGATATCTCCTACGCCTTCATCTTGGACCACTTGCGATGCGCACACAGGAGTAGCTTGACCAGACGATACTTCAAAAAGGCCATACGGTTGTCCGAACACACTGCAAAACGGAGAACATAGTAGGGTTAGAATTCAATTCGAGTTTGGATCTATTGGTGGGCCAAGAGCCAAGCTAATCTGAAAAGAAGAGACTCTCAAGGATTGTCCATAGGCAGAGATAGCCCTTAAAAGAGCTCTCCTCCTACAATAAAAGAGGATTCCTCAAATTTGAACTTTTCTTACGTGACGTGATAACAGTAAATGCAGTCCTATGACCCTTTAGCTCCTCTTCGCTTCTTTCATGAGAATATCTTGTGAATTCAACCTTCACAAACTACGAAATGAGCTTTTTTTAAAGAATAGATTCAGGAAATCGTTCGCGTTTGAAAAAACTACAGAGTAAAAATACTGCTACCAAAAAATCAATGAGAATTTGCATACCTTTCGGCGTCAAACTTGAGTTTTTCAATCAGTACTTTTTGCTTAGACGAAAGTCGCATCACCCGAATGTGTTCTCCGCCGACTTTTTGAACCACAACATAGCTCCCCTTCTCGATGGTGTCACAAGCGGTCGTTGTTATGCGCTCATTCATTCCGCACGGAACTGAAAATAGGACACATCCAACTGAAGAGACCACGTAGTACAACGATTTCACGGAAGAAAGCTGGGACAACTCTTTTCTTCTTCGCGGTGAGCTTCTTTATCCTACAATAGTGGTATTTTTTCTCTCTAGATATCAATGATTCCTCGCAGCTGATATGTTATAATCAGTTTTTTTTCTTCAGTAAAAAATGAAGTATCTATTTATGCCCATCATTAACTGCGTTTTACTGCCACTGTCACCACTAGCATTTCTTGATCCCGGTAAAATCCCGGCTAGTTTAAAGATTGTGAAGCCTTGAACTTTACAGTACTCCTTCATCCTAGCCGTTTTTGACCGAATTTCAAGAATGAAATACCTCCAATCGTTTCCTTAAAGGAATCTTCCACGGACCATGGACCAGTGGGCGGGACCGGAAGTGGTTTTGCGACGAAATGCATGGTAGGTACGGATCCACGTTCATGGGAAGGTTTGAAGTGAATCCTGTTCACGTTCGTGCGTTCGACACGTGGATCCGTACCTACCATGCATTTCGTCACAAAATTCGTCACGAATGCCATGAATGTATACGAATAGAATACAGGGTCTATTCCAGTTAGGGGGGGGGGGCATCATGATGCAGTTTCTCGGCGAGCTAATGTAAACTCGAACATTCCAGCTTTTCACGCATGTCAAGTGACTGCCCTCACCCCCCACCCCCCTAGGCTGGCTACACTCCCCCTGGCTCAGAGTTACCGTAGCTTTCTGGAAAGACTGCGCACCATGATGCCCCCTAACTGGAATAGACCCTAAAATAATGTCATACCTACAACTTCTACTTCGGAGATGACCTTCTCTTGAGCATGACATACCAAGGGGAACTATTTTCAATTGCTCAAGAGCACTTCAAATCATTAGTTATTGATGCATCGTATGGTCATCCTTTAGAAGCCCTCAACTGTCGTAGATGGGGCAGGGGGGGACATCATGAGTGAGCTAACTTAAATACAATGGAGTAAGCCTTAGAAAGGAATGGAAAATAGTGAGCGACTTCTTTCTCCCTGGCGTTTTCCCCTTTCCTGGGCTTGGTCCTACATCGCGGTTGTTGATGTCTATCCCCCTAAGGCCATGAACGCCTTTCGGAATTTCACATTGCGTTCCATTAAAGGCAAAAGTCGGGCTCAATAAGGGGGTATTATGGCGATTGAAACTGAGTATAGAGATGCGAAGTGGAAACGACAGTGGAGAAAAAACTGAGAAAAACCGTCGACAAAGGTCGTTAACAAAACCCTCTTCCCCACTAGCAGTGAAGGAGGCTGGCTTGGGAAGAGGCACGTACAAACAAGTTTTCTGGAAGATATCAGTCGTTCTATCGGTTGATACGGCAATCAACCTAGCTGATTTCACACGTTATGCCAGCCACGCACCACATCCCAAGGTGGGCGGTCGTAGCGGGGCCAGGCGGCGATAGCGCATAGTACATGCCCTGGGGCCTTATTACCGCGCCGTTCGAGATTTTGAGCGTGGGAACATCTGTACTGGTGCGTAACCAAGTACAGAGATGACCGAAAGGGTTGGTTTGGTCAACTAATCCCGACCTTTGCCTTTAATGAATTATGCATAACAGAACTGATGATCATGTAATAAATGACGTAAAGCGCTGAAAGAGACTAAGAAGGAAGGAAGCTCAAGGACTGGAAACGCTTTTCAGATCAGAAAAAAGCATTCCAGTAATGCCATCACTCGTTGGTAGACGTTATATAATAGAAGTAAGACTAGCACAGAGACTCTATCCAAAAATAGAAGACATGGAATTATACAGTGAAATCGGTAAAAGTGAACCACTTCTATCGAAACACCGAACTCGTTCGAATGCAATAGGAATCAGTGCGAACTGGCAAAATGCCAGGTTGCTCTAGCATCACGACAAACTGTGGGCCAGCACTGTGCATTTTGGTGACCCGATGCTCTTTGAGGCGCTGTATTTGCGGAATGAAAAAAAGGAAAATTTTTTTTTTTTTTTTTGGCAACCAAAAAAATGGCCCCGACCAGCGAAAGTTAGGGAATCACGGATTTGGCGCACTTTGCAGAAATCGACAATTGCCAATAAAGCCTCATGAAAGAGTGCACAGCCGCCGAATCAATTATTTCCGTGTGTGCTTACAGATAATACGGCACATTTGACGCCTAAGTAGAAAAGCCGGTACCATTTTTCCCTTTTGGTTTACTTGTTTATTATAATTTGTGTGCGAATACTCCATTGTTCAGAACCACAGGTTGCCATCGTAGGTACTGGGAAAGCATGCTCTCCTGGGTTTAATTGCTGAGTGGACTCTTTATACTCGGTCAATACTCAGAGCAATTCAGTGGTTCAGTTTATTACGCCATTATGACCCTGATGCTGCCAGCGATTCGGGGATGTGGTCGCCCCGTGGAGTGCTCCTCCTTGGACGATGATCACTTTGTAGAATGCTGAACTTCTGTTCTCAAATTCGTGCAAGGACTCCGCAGAGTGTAGTCGAATGGAATGTTTGTCAAATTTTACGATTAGTAATACTGCATCGATTCGCAACGATGCAGGGTTTTCGCTTGTGATGAAGAGAGGGGCAATTTCGACGAAAGTGGACAGAGCTTTTTCTCGTCTAGTCTCTTTTCCAGACAACCGCCGCTCCAATCCTGCAGGTGCTTCGTTCCCGCCTCTAGATTAAATTTTACTCATAATTCCGCCACGAACTATCGGCACTCAAGTGTTCACCGCCTGCTATCGCTATGTACAGGGGGCATTGCGGCATTTGCGCACACATTTCAAGCCGCATTACCATCTTTTTTTATTTGTTTTAAACTGAGCTAAGCCCTAGCTAGTAAAGGAGGAGGCTCAGAGCGCTTGCAGCAGTCATTTTCGCCAAAGTTTCCTCGCTCCCTTCTAGCTTGACTCAAAGGCGTATGTCCATACCTATGTCGTCTAACGATCGCACAGTATTAGGTGTCCTATCTCACCATTTCCGTACGAATCGATACAGTTATCTAATGCTTTGCGATCCTTAGGACCAGGTGACCGACTATGAATGCACCCTTGGGCTCAGTTCTGGGTTATGGCCCCGTATCTTGCGATAGCGCAAATCCTCCTAACTGAAGAGTACATATGATTGGTTTGGTAAATGTGTGGTAATGCGCTCAGACCAGTTTTTCTACAGAGTCGATATCGTTCCATTGATCTGTGGGCAATATTAGAAGGTTGCTAAGTTCACTTCAGGTATTTTATTTCGAGGCACGTTTAAGACTTTTTCAAAAATGTGTATTTTTCTATTGCTGGTTTTACCTGCACGAGTTATTCGCCTAAGAGGCTACTGATGAACTCTGCTCTAGGCCTTACCCGTAGTTGCTGCAGCACTTATCGCTTAGTACTTCTCGTAAGTTCGAACCGGTAAATTGGACTTTATGCCCCCGTTACGTAAATTTCATCCTCGCATTTTCCTCATTTTCCTCAATTCCTCACGAAGGTCTCCATAAATAGAGGCGGCAAAATTGCATGTGGGAAAAGAGGGAGTCACTTAAGTCATAGTGGGATTTGCAAATGTCAATTTTCCACGTCTCAATAAATGGACTGAATGGATTCATAGGAGATGAACTTTCTCTTTTGAAATGTCCCCATCGTTACTGTTCCCACTAATCCGAAGAATATTCGTTGAAAAAGCAAAATATGGATTTTCGCGCTACTGTATTCGACGGACGCATGCGTGGCATCGTCCGAAGGCGGAGCGTGACACAATTCGACTGCTCGATTCCATCTGTTTTGTTCGTTCGTCGTACTTAGGTTATTATAATTATAATGATCGATGTTCTTTTTAGTTTGCGAGGGACTACTAAAAAGCGATAGTTCAATTTTTCATTGTCCTGGAACGCTTTGATATCCTCTTGTCTACCTTTTAATCTTTGTATTTTCATTTCCTTTGCATGAACCTTTCCTTGTAATTATTTAATTGTCAAATTCTTCGCCCGGAAATAATTAGAGTTCTATTTTCCCTGCTGAATACTTTGGGAATTCGGTACGAATTTCTGAGAAGGTTTTAATACTGGACATGAAAACTAGGTTAAGCCTCTTGTTGAATTTTTTTATGGGTCTGCTTGGTCCGGGATTTTCTGAGCGTTAGGATGCCAGTGAATCAACCAAAGACATCAATGTCGTTATTCGTCTTACAGGACTAGTCAACCGTTGGTTTACTGACTTCTTTTATAGCTTCTAAAAGCTGGCAACACTATATGACATGTCGTTGACTCATCAAATGCATTCGCGCCTATACGTTTCCACATTTGCAAGCATGTTTTGAATAGTTTTAGAGGTTTGCATATTCTCTCCTTACATGTGTCGCTAATTTTCGATGTTCTTACGCTCCGAATCCTTATTCAGGAGTAATTACCTCCATCGGTCGAAACGCCGCCTGATCTTTAAGTGCCTTCAGGTGTTATACGTTAAGTTTGAGACTGTTGTTCTTTTCTGAAGTGGAGGAGGTTACAGCAAGCTCTCATTAATATCGACCGTGATCGTGACCTCTCACAGTCGCTGTAACTCTAAAGCGATGGTCATACTTTGTGTCCGTCTTTCACTTCTAGTGCAGAGTACTTCACGAAAAAAAAATGCAGACAATGACCGCGGCTCAAAGTAAAGGTCTCAAATCCGGGTTAAACCGCGGTTTTGAACTCGCATTGAAAACAAATTTGTGGACCAGTGTTTCGAACTGCAAGCGTGAGAGAAAAGATAACACATTGTCATCTTTTATGTAAATCCTATCATATATTAAAATCTTCTACTGAAACGTAGCGATTTTGCTATGAACAGTCATTGTCTAATCTTTTAGATGACAAGCGCGGTGCATCATTCTTTTTTTGGCAATTTTGTTTGCTGTCGTGATTTGTGAATTTGGCAAGGATCTTCCCGTCATTAAATTCGACTCAAGAAGGAGCCGAAGATCTGAAAGTATTGAGAGGTAGTTGCGAGAAACCCTTGAAAGTTTCTCTTTTTGTGTCCTTGGCAAGCAAACGGAACGATACAAATTCTGAATTTATCAGCGATCTGTGAACTTCCATTAGTGTGTAGCTTTAGGTAAGGAAAGATGTCAAGTAGTAGGTGTTCTAAATGCCCTGTGTCGTGGCAGGAAGAATGGTTGTCACGCATCCTTCAAACGAATTTTCTTCATTTTTCATTAATGACCAAATTTTCGCAGTTGTCATGGTCCGTTTTCGATCCTTCTCTCGCCTAGCTCGTTCAGTTTTAGACGGGTTTTCGCGACACGATTTTTTTTTCGAATTCTCTATGACTGCTTTCTTTTACTATTTTGAGTTGTTATTGAATTCATTTCTATAGATAGTTGACAAGCAGTGGGGATGTCCACCCACCTGCTCTCAATCCTCCTCTTCTTGGGGCTTTTTCCACGCGAACAGGGATTCTATGTGCCTGGAGTAGCTCCTGTTGAATTCAAAAGTGGCGATCCAATTGAAGTTAAGGTGAGCGAGTTACATTTGATTAAGTAGTTCCTTTTTTGTTTTGTTTTAACTGAGTGTTGCCCATTTAGGCAATCAAACTTTCAAGTACCAAGACTATCGTACCATATGAATACTACTATCTTCCATTTTGTCGTCCTGATGGAGATTTACTGTACAAATCAGAAAATCTCGGTGAAGTCATGCGTGGAGATCGTATCGTAAACACTCCGTACCAGGTCAGATTTTTGCAGTATAGAAATAAGCAACCTCAAAATTGACTGTTTGTGATTGTTCTGTGACTTACCGCCACTATTGGCCTAGCGTTATCCGCTTTTCCGTTATCGTGTGGTGCTATTTAAGTTAAGGTGAATATGTCGTCAAAAGATGTGTTTAGGGTACCGGCAGGTGTGTTTGCTAGAATGTGCTCTTGAAAGTGAGACGTGCGGTTGGTTTCCCGCTTGGGCCAAGAGTTATCCTATGACCAAGTGTTATCTGACAACAACGATTCTCTATAATATTTTAGTTATTTAATGAAAGAGGACTGAGCATGTTCTTTCTGCCCTGCACAAAGGCTGAACCGGGGGAGGTAAGCGCATCGGCAGCGAAGAGGTTGATGGATCGCATAAAGGAGGACTATCATGCTCATTTGTGAGTTCAATAGATTCTTATTGCGTTTCTAATATTCAGAACGATCTCATTCATTCAATATTTTGAAATATGATTTGTTGTATAATAGGCTGGTAGACAATCTTCCTTCTGCTACAAAGTACGAAGTGCCGAAAACTGGAGAAGTTTTCTATGACCTCGGCTATAAAATTGGCTGGGTCGGCGAGGATGGCAAGGTATGAATTTTTTGAGATCTTTTTTTTTTTATCTTGCAACCCCTTTATTATTTTTTTTATTGGAAGCTGTGTGCTTACGTGTTTTGATGCATGCGCCAAACAGCACTGTTCAGCTTACTATACATAATAATATTATGATGGAAGCGCAAATTTCATGATCGATTTGATTTTAAATAATGGCTCCTGATTTAAAAACCCTACCTTTCATTGAGGAGTTCCAATTTTTCCCCAGCCAAAATTGTGAGGATAGGGGACGGCGGTTACCGAGACGGCGTCCAAGCAGCAAATTAATGAGTCCTCGAAGTTCTCAAATCTTTTTCTTGTTATGATGGATCGGAAATTGTGGTGGGAAGAACTCATTTACAGGTATTCCTGAATAATCATTTGGATATAGTGATGCTCTATCATGAACACATGCCTGGATTGTACCGTGTCGTTGGTTTTGAAGTGAAACCTCGATCGATAAAATCTGTTACCTTCACAAAGGATAAGGTCAGCATTTTCTCGTTACATTTATTTCTTTCATTCTTGTATTGTTTCCCTAAAGCTTTCCTTCTTAGAAGTGCACTGGAATCGACAAGGAATCAAACTTTTACGAATTAAAAGAAGAAGGTCAGCGGATTCATTGGACTTATAGTGTGACATGGGAAATTAGTGATGTAAGTTTGTGTAGTTTTTGTAGAGCTATTCATGACTGCTTCGTGAATGTTGCTAGTTTTTGAAATTTTGTAAATTCAAAGAGGAAGTCCGAAGGAGAAGATGGTTTGGTAGTCAAGTTAAGCTTATCACCGCACGCTCTTATTTCAATGAGGTTTTTAGATTCCATGGGCGAGTCGCTGGGATGTCTACTTATCAGTCAAGGCGGTTGATATTCACTGGTTCAGCATCCTGAATTCAATTGTCGTTGTGTTGTCACTAAGTGGTAAGTGAATGTTCTGAATTTCCGTAG